AGCTTCAGGGCCACACGTGGAGGGCAGCATTCTTTGAAGATGTAGTTCCAGCATTCAGGAAATGGAGAAAGGCTGGAATGAAGGTGTATATCTATTCCCCAGGGAGTGTAGAGGCACAGAAACTATTACTTGGGCATTCTACAGAGGGAGATATTCTTGAGGTTGTTGATGATGACTTTGATACCAAGATTGGGCACAAAGTCGAAAGTGAGAATTAATGAAAGATTGCAAACAGCATTGGGTGTCCAACCAACAATATTCTGTTTCTGACAGACACTCTAAAGGCATGTGCTGCTGAGGAAGCAGATGTGCACATTGCTGTGGTGGTGAGACATGGCAGTGGGGGCCTAACAAATGATGGGAAGACTATAGTTTCATCATACCCTTCAGTGAGCTGTACCTGCCCTCTTCAGCGGATTTCTAAGGAAGACCAAACTTGCTCAGGGTTGTCCCCATAGTCTAGTTTTATTCTAACGGTAAACGTAACTTACTTTAAAAATACATACAGTCATTTCTCAGTGTACATGGAGGGATTGGTAAGGGCAAAGTGTAGTCAATAAAGTACTAACACACAGATCAAATGTGTCATGTTTATGAGCTTATGTACCCAAATGGAAAGCAAGTTTTGCAAAGTTATTCAGAAGCCTTTCTATTTTAAAAACTGGAAGTATTTAAAGGATTACTCTTCATGTAATTAATTGCATCTGTTTAATTGTGAGGAAATAGAAAATTACAAAGCTGCATTTCACAATATTTTCCTACCAGTATACAAAAGACAAAGATGTTATTAAATATTTGCTTATACTTGAAAAGAGCAAAATCAGAAAGAAAATTTACTTCAGTCTTGAACAATTGAGCATATGTTATTTAAGAAGAAACTTGAGAATCATTGTTGCACCGCCAGCAAAAAATCACCTTACTGTAAGGAAAAAGGTTCATTGATGTAACACTTGGAATGGAGATGTGGTTCTCAGTGTTTCATAAAATAGTCCAAATCCTGCCAGTTGTTATCCATCATAGATTTTATATTATAGTTGCCTTTCTGTCAACTTCCTAGCACAGTTTAAGAAATTATGTTATTTACTATTTTAAAAAATGATTTTACTGAAATGACTCCACAAGATCAAAAAGGACCCAAATATATCTTTCTCTAAAATGGATGCAAGATGCATTGTAGGATGTTTAGTTTCAAAAAAAAAAAAAAAAAAGAGGCTGGGCGCGGTGGCTCACGCCTGTAATCCTAGCACTCTGGGAGGCCAAGGCGGGCGGATGGCTCAAGGTCAGGAGTTCGAGACCGGCCTGAGCAAGACCCCGTCTCTACTAAAATTAGAAAGAAATTAATCGGACAACTAAAAATATATAGAAAAAAATGAGCCGGACATGGTGGCGCATGCCTGTAGTCCCAGCTACTCGGGAGGCTGAGGCAGGAGGATCGCTTGAGCCCAGGAGTTTGAGGTTGCTGTGAGCTAGGCTGACGCCACGGCACTCTAGCCCGGGCAACAGAGTGAGACTCTGTCTCAAAAAAAAAAAGAAAGAAATGGATGTGAGAAATGTAAATTTTATAACAGTATTATTCTGGTTTAATTCTAATAGGATGTCATGTCAATTTCATAATTGTGATTAGTAAAAACATTCTCCACCTCCTCCTCCTCCTCATTATCTCTCTCTCGCTCCTTTTTTTTTTTTTTTGGAAACTAAACATCCTGCAATACATCTCACATCCATTTTAGAGAAAGATATATTTGGGTCCTTTTTGATCTTGTGGACTGATTCTAGTAAAACCATTTTTTTAAATTGTAGTGTGTGTGTGTGTGTGTGTGTGTGTGTGTGTGTGTATACTTACATACGTATCTATTTTCTGTGTAGAAGTGCTAAGGTGATATTCAAAGCCTTAACTTTGCAAAGTGAAAAAGAATACTTTGGTCAGAAAGAAGAGCCCTAGTTCCTTAGGGCTAGAGGAAACATGTTCTTGAGGAAGTGGGCCCTGAGCGGAGGCAGAATATAGTGGTGGAGACTATAAAGGAGACTGAGACAAAGCAGCCAGAGACACCGAAGGAATACCTGGAGAATGGGTGTTTGAGGAAGAGAGTTTCCAGAAGGATGAATGTTTGTTATATGTTATTGAAGGAACAAATACAATGAGAATTGGAAAATGTTATTGATTTAATAGTAAAGTAGGGTTATGGATGACGTAAGCAAGGGTGATTTTGGTGGAACGATAAGGGACTAAAGCTAGATTAGAATGGGTTCAGAGAAAAGTTGGCTTGAAGAAGGAGGGGAAAGAGGTTGGTAGCTGGAGGGAGATAGAAAGTTGAGGGGAAAAAATTTAATTTTTATTAATGGGAGAGACTTAAGCCTAATTAAAAGCTGTGAGGAGTGTTAGTAAGAGAGGGAAACTGATTATATAAGAGAAGGAAGGGCTAATTATTGATTTATGGTTCCTGAGATGGCAGGGGATACGGAATCTAAGGCAGAGGATTAGCCTTAGAAAATGGAGAGAAATCTCCTCTATAGGAACTATTAATAAAATGAACTAGAAGGAGCAGATAGATGCAAATGTAAGTAAGTTGTATGATACTTATTTTCTCTATGAAGTAGGAGATAATATCTGCTGAGTGAGGGGCAGGCTGAGGTGGATTAGGGTGCAGAGTGGAAGAGGATGTAATGGTGAGGACCCATTTGAAGTTGGTGTTAATGAATTTGACATGGAACATATCTCCCCTACTTTGTGACTCTCTTCAGTAGGGTTTGGTGACACAGATACAGGCTTGGAGCAAAGAGATTCATTCAAGATTGTGTTTTTGCCAGACAGTTGAATTTAGGCTTTTAGCAAGAATGTTGTTAAAATGATGAACCATGAAATCAAAGCTTAATGAGAGTTGAGGAAGTGTAGGAAAAAACGGGATGATAGACTAAGGAAAAGCAAATGTGAAAAAGGGAATATAGTTGAATTTGGGGGTGGCTTTAAAAATTGAGTGTGGGCCGGGCGCGGTGTCTCACGCCTGTAATCCTAGCTCTCTGGGAGGCCGAGGCGGGCGGATTGTTTGAGCTCAGG